AAATTAAAAAAAGAAAAAAAAAGATGGAAGGTCAGTGAAAGACAGGAAATTATCAATGAGATGGACTGATGCAGTGACTGCAGCAGTGGACTCAAGTGTGTCAGGGATGAGAATGGCACAGGACAAGGCAGGGTTCAGATATGACGTTCACAGGGTCACTATGAGTTGTACTCAACTTAAGGGCACCTAACATCAACCACAACATTCTGGAGGATCAAAGTGACAACAGAAACTTGAAAGAATAGATAAAAATCTTAGGAGGTCAGTGAAAAACTCCGAGGAGGAGGTAAAATTCCAAAAAGAAGCGTGTAAATGGCTGTACATCAGAATAATGGAATCACTGTTGAGTGATGTAGCTTTTGCTGTGTATATCCTGAACAACAAAATAAATGTAAAGAAAAATATTCTATCTTTACTAAGTTACTTACTGAATATATGGAGCAATATCTTCTTCTGTCCATTTCTCCCGCAGAGAGAAGAGACTGTTAAAACGTGCCTGGTTATCCTCAGGTAAATCATCTACTTTCAGTAAGGATATGATTTCTGGTCTCGTGTGTCTATCCACAAGTGCTAAGCCCTGCAAGAAATGAGAGGGAAAGGGGTAGGAAGAATAATTCTCTATTGTTTCTACACATGCATCTTTTTACTTTCGGCTTGAAATTCTTTGAATAGTCCTTTCACTATCTCACCAACACTCTTCATGCCAGTCATACATACCTACTACAACAGAACTGTGTCCTGTACAAAGAGGTTTGAGTTTGATTCTCTGTATTATGCCACTATTCTCCAACTTGTGACCTAAGATGATTATTCTATGCTATAACTCTTAATACAGTTAATCAGCTTACACTTAGATGACAGTTAGGTTACAATTAGAGACATTTCCAAACTATTGAGGAGCAGTGATGTCCGTTTAAAGACTAAGGTGCATCTGTTTCAGGCCACAGTCTTTCTGATTACTACTAGTTATGCAACCGAGACCTGAACTATGAATTAAGAATGAGAGTAAAAGAATTGATGCCTTTGGGCTGTGGTGCTGGAGGAAAAAAGCACTGGATGGCCAGGACAAACAGGTATGTCTTGGAGAGGGTGCAGCTGGAGTGCTCTTTGGATACAAGAATGATGAGGCTTCTCCTCACATACTTTGGACATATTGCTAGGAGGTGCTATTCCTTGGAGAGGGACTGATGTTGGGAAGGGTGGAGGGTCAGCGAAGGAGAGGAAGACCCTCAACCAGGAGGATGGCAAGGTGGCTGCTGCAGTGGTCTTTTGTGTGTCAGGAAGTGTGAGGATTATACAGGACAGGACTGGGTTCAGATCTTTTGTTCATAGGGGTCACTATGAGTTGTACTCTACTTGACAGCACCTGAGTTATACTCTACTTGACAGCACCTAACAACAACATAACCCTTAATCTCTGATGTTAAAGAAAGAGCCTTTGGTGGGTTGTGTTGAGTTGCAAATTTAATTATAAACAGTGCTAAATGCCATGCAGGACAATTGGGGGATGCTGCGAGAGAGGGAAAAAACCCTCTCTTTTCAGAGTAGAGAGAGAAGGGAGGCCTCTTTTAATGAAATATCTCAAAGGTGTGTGTGAGGTCAAATAGGGAGATGATGTTATTTTTTTTTATTATTACTATTAAATTTTATTAGTTTTAATGAACATTTACAGGGATTTTGGGTTTTCATTCCTTCATTGCTGCACCATTCTCTCTACCCTCCTCCCCAGTTTGTTCTTCCCCGCCATCCGAATGTCTGTTTTAATTGTCCAATTGCCA